AAGTTTAGTTATTAATATTTCTTTTTTAGTGTAACATTCCAAAATTTGTTCAACCATGTTCGTTGACAACACTGCCAAATTATTTTATATATTTCAGCTTCATAATATTAAAAAAGTAACTTAAAAAGATAAAACAGATAATTGACATTGCATTTGTTGACCACGGGTAATTGGTTTTTACAGTCTTAATATATTGATATCACTATTTTTGTTCAACTGTGAGATTTGAAAGCGATTTTCTGTCATCGGTTTGTTGTGTCAATCCCCCTTCTAGGTACAGCTTTATCTCAGTAAAAAAACAAAAAAGATGAGGGTGGTTTTTTATTCTTGTTAGCTGATATATGTTCCTTTGCACATTCTTTTTGTTATAAGCCAGATAATTTTATTAGTGGCTTAAATGATGACATGGTTTAATCCGTATTTTATTCATGCAAAATATATAAATACATTAACGACCTTCGAAAAGCATTTTTATTTAAGCAGACTTAATCTTATTGGTACCACGAAGTAAACCACTTCTTCTTGCAGCAATTAAACCAACCTGAAAACAAAAAAAAATAAAATAATAAAATTAGAATAAAATCTTGTAGAGTAATATTGGAACATAAAAATGATATATACTTTTTGTCCAGGAGCACTTTCCCTAGAAACCGTAGAAGCGTGACCAATGTGTTGATGGTTACCACCACCATGAGGATGGTCTACAGGATTCATAGCTACACCACGAGTTTTTGGCCAACAGTTCCTTTTTACTCTGTACTTATGATAAGCACGACCAGCTTTGAGTAAAGGTTTATCAATACGACCACCCCCAGCGACTATACCAACTGTCGCACGAGCATTGGAATTGATAACTTTTTTAGCACCTGAAGGAAGTTTGACACGAGTCTTGCCTTCGTCATGATTATGACCAATTATGGTAGCATAGTCGCCGGAGGCACGGGCCAAAGCACCACGATCACCAATCTTTTCTTCAATGTTACAAATTATTGTACCTTCAGGCATGGATCCTAAGGGAAGCACATTGCCAACTGTCAATGTGGCTTTTTTGCCACAATAAACGAATTGACCAGTGTGTAGACCCTCGGTAGCAATGAATGTTTGGAGACGAAGCTTATATCTAAAAATGTTGTAAAATTTTAATTTTATTACTTAAATACACCATCCTATTAGGAAAATATGTTAACATACCGATAGGGGTCACGAAATTGAACCTTTGCAAGAGGTGCGCCGCGACCTGGATCGTGGACTATTTCTTTAACAATACCTCTTATGTATCCGTTGCGTTCGGCAAAATCTAAAGGACGTAATTTAGCTGCTCCTTTGCGAAGTCTAGTATGAGCTTTAAAGATACCGCCCGGACCCTTTCTTTGCGAACGGATGACACGACCCATTCTTAAACAATTTTAATTCTTTAATAATTGAGATATTGAATTTTTTATTAAATTAATAAATTCCAAATTATCCATCGATTAAGACTAATAATATTTTTTCATCCATTTAATATATATACAAAATTAAAATGAATTTATTGATGTAAATTTCATCTATAATAAATATATCATACCAAAAAAAAGGTCCACTAAGCAAAAACAACTTTGGAAGAGAAAGAATCTGAACTCAGAGATTTACATGATTTATTATCCAAATGATTGTTTTTGATTGGTCGATTTCTTTTTTTTTTTTTTTTTGATAATAACGATAATTTCCGGGAAAACCGATTTTTAACCATTTTTTTTAATAAAGCTATACACTTAATGGTAAATATGAAAAAAGACTAATTTAATTGTAAACGTTATCAATTTCTGCTATGGTCATTTAAACTAATGGAATAAATCATTTAGACTAGTACGGGAGGGACATCACAAATTAACAAAAAAGTTGTATCAAAGGATGAATGGGTCAAAAAATTATCAGATGTCAAGATTGATAAAGCGTATGCCAAAATTGTAAATTCAGTGTTTGAAGTCTAAAATAAATATAGAAAACTTGAAACATAGTGTACATTTATTTGGCCTTTAAATTTTATAGGGATCTTAATAAACTTATCATGAATTATTTCGTGATTGAAGGATATAAAGATGCAGCAGAAGCATTTAGTCAAGAATGTGGATTATCACCAAGCATTGATGTTGATTCCATACAAGATCGAATGAATATTCGAAACGCTATTCAAAATGGGAACGTTGAGGAAGCAATTGAGCGTGTGAATGATTTGAATCCTGAGGTAAAGATTTTACTACATTATTTTTGGCAGAGTGCTGAAAATAGCACGGGTAAACACTAAACTATTCGTCCCAGTATCAATACTGGTTTTAAGACAATGATTATAAATTGTCTCATGCACCACTCTTAAATTCAATTCTTTGGGTTGATGATGATATACATACTCACCCTTCAGTCTTCAATATGAGTCTTATTTCAATCTTTCAAAATAGTTACATGTATATAACTTTCGTACTATGATCTCAGATTATTTGTTATTTTATTCACAAAGATATTGGATACGAATCCGAAGTTATACTTCCATCTCCAGCAACAACGATTAATTGAATATATTCGAGAAGGCAAAATAACGGAAGCTTTAGAGTTTGCTCAAGATGAATTAGCACCCCGTGGTGAAGAAAATGTAAATCATTTCTCTAAAGACATTTCATCCTTTCACTTTATATTTTCTTAAAAATGCTTTTTTTGTTTTATTAGCCCGAATTTTTGGAAGAACTGGAGCGTACGATGGCATTACTTGCGTTTGATGATACTTCTGTTTCCCCAGTTGGCGATTTGCTTCATCCATCACAACGTCAACGTACAGCTAGCGAATTAAATGCAGCAATTTTGACTTCACAAAGTCAAGAAAAAGATCCAAAGCTTCCTAGTTTATTAAAAATGCTAGTTTGGGCTCAAGATGAATTAGATGAAAAAGTTCTTTTTCCAAGAATGAAAAATCTTGTTACAGCTGAGTTGATTGATACGAATGACAGTGCTACTAACAATACGACAATAAATAATTCGTTTATGTCAACATAGCAGAAAACAGTATATCTTTTTAGTAGGTCACCCTAATATTTGGACGATAAAAAAAAAAAAGTAAATAAAATTTTGATTATAGTTTAGGTATGAAGTTAGTGAAGGGTTACATGAGCCATGCTTATTGTAAAAATTTTACAAAAAAAAATCATATTTTTAAAAACTTTTATATATAATATATATTTAATTTTTATATAAA